GTGTTATAAATATGAGGTCATTAAAAGATCCGTCGATCCATTATTCCGATCTCCAAAGGTTGAATCTTGGACAAAAGCTAGCAAATTTTCATCAGTGCAGAACAGACAGCAAATTGTATTTCTGGAGAGTAGTTTGTGTAAGACGGAGCATTGCGTTTTTATTGTCACAAACTCTGTCTCATTTCGAAATAGCTCCAGAATACTTAGGGGAAACACACTAACCTGTAATGAGGACTCTCATTGAAATCAACGTAATTCTGCATTTGATTCTGATGGCCAAGTTGAAATTTGGTACTGGGATTCGACTCAACCGTTGGTTTTCGCATCGTTGCGCGATTGTGATACGTTATTCAATCATGATCCGCTGCTTGCTAATTTTATCATCTTAGTCTTCAATATTGAAGGAAACGGACGTCACACTTGAGGACAAGGTCTGCTAAAAAAAATTGAATTTTAGCCCGTGTGAAGATTTCTATCGTTTTTCAGCTGGTGCCGATGAAACCACTGCTAAATCGCTGAAAACGAGCTCGGAAGTATACAATCATACTTTTTTCCGGTAAATGACATTTTCTCATGTCCGTTATTATCAACTTCCCGATTTATCATCAGTTTCTTCGCATATGTTAATAGATAAACTGAACGAATATATAATGACTCAGTTGCCGTACAGCATGTCATGAAAATTTTTTTTTGTGGACATATGCAGGGCAGGCAGGTTACTTCGTCAAACAAGTGCAAATACTGAATATGATATGCAACCAATTCATGGACATGAATAGTAGCTATTGTTGCGCTCAATAAATCATTCATCTAATTATAACATTCAGGGGTGATCCATGTGATCCATGTCCAATTACTATGCCAAGTTCCACTATTTACTACTAGCTTATTTTCAAATGATAAAACAAGGTATAGGAAATTAATTGTGGTTATTATGTTTATTGATCATCTGATGTTAAACTTGTGTTGATCTATTGAACCAAGTACATGCAAACATTTCTTCATAAAAACTTGCACGTTTCTTTCCGGAAAATTGATACCATAGCTAGTTCCTATATACAACCCGTAAAGTATGGTCTGATGTCGCTATCAATGCCCTTAGTATCCTTAGTATTTGTTTGGGAGATATCAGTCCCAGGCCACGATGGATCGTCGCCTCTGATTATCGTTCATCCGCCCTCATTTGGGCCACCTGATGGAGTGGTTCTCTGGAGTGGTTCTCGTAGAGAGCGCATCTTCTCGTCCACGAAAACGTGAAGTCACGGACAGACGGAGGGACAGGCAGATGGACATGACGAGCACAATGGAGCATTTTTGCAATAAATGAGAAAATGCGCTAAAAAGACCTGAACTTTGCAAGGTGACACTTCTGCCCTGCAATAGACTTCAGTTTTGTAAAAGAACAACATAAGTCCTAAAAACACATGAGATGACAGCACCTGACGAAGAAATACTTAAACGTCGCCAGTCTACCAGCCTCTGACTAAAAAAGATTTGAACTTTGTATGATAGCCTACCCTTGACCTACTATGAAAACTCAGAGGTGCTTCATCGGCACTTAACTCTCCGGAGTGTCTCGTTTTGCCATCATAATTTAATAATATTAACTACTATTTTTTTGTCCTATTTTGCTGGTTTATCTAGAAAAACTGCTAATTTATACTCAAGTAAAAACTGAAACATCAAAAAGCTTTGCTGGATATCCCCGATTCCTGAAATGTTGTTTTTTAACAGTATTTACTGTACTCTATGTACTGCATCTATAATCTCAAACATGAACTCAGTTACTCATTATTCTATGGAGCTTTTTCCTTCTCTTTCGGCAGAGTTACTATTCACTCCCAGCTTTGCTAACCAGCCTCTAAATCCTTACAAGTATTTCTGAACAAGCTCAAGGGAATATTTAATGTTTAAAAAGCTAACTTGCCAATAAAAAATTAGGCCTGATAACATCAGGAATAACAGGTCAATTCCGAGCTGCAGCGCACAATAATTATTGAGACCTTTTGCCCATTGTCAATTTCTCGCCATTATTTGCGCCGGCATAACTCATCACCTACTGTAATATTAATCAAGCTGTGAATGGTGTAAAAACTAAATTATATATAATGTCACTCCAGCCCTATTGACTTCGATAATCCACTGAGTCATGTGGGCAAAAGTGTTATTCTGAACTCACATTTAGGAAAGAACTGCGACCGATGGTGCCGCAGTTGCACAGCGGCAGCTTGCGGGGCCTTTGCAGGGCGAGGACGAGGCCAGTGTTAGGCTGGAAATAATCTCATCATAGTTGTTATATAGTCCAATATGACGGAATAAGTTTTCGTCCATATTTTATCAAAGAAATAATTATCTAAATATGTAAATACTTATACAAAGGAATCAATGCAAAAATCAACATGTATGCAATGACTCGTCATTGAATAGATTAATGTAAATAACTATTTTCGTTCTCCTTCTATGCTAAGCTGCAATAGAATAACTTAGTAAAATCCTCGTTAGATTTTATGAATATTACATACCTGCATGCGCTGGTCATCAGGTAAGCGCTGTATGAACATCCGCAAATTTACCATTATTTTTTCATCCTGAAAAGCAATGTATCTTACGAATATGAATTAAATTTTATGAGTTTAACCCTATGTAATCATCTAAAATGGATTATCTTCCATTTATTCACGTTCTCTGAATTCGAAGTGTAGGAGAAAGTTACCACTTTTTTCAAACATGTATATACTATGTTGTCGTACAACCGTGTATGTGTACATAATATTATAACGACAGCTTAGCTTCACACTCATCGCATCTGTGAGCTCGTCGCCAGGGTTGTGCATCAAGAGTAAGAAGCAGAGAGCCTAAGAAATGTAGACTACACACTGCGTTATGTCCTGTCCACCGTTCTGTTTGGTTATCGTCAGATAGTAAATTGAGAAGCAAAGATCAGAGTGGTCACCAATGGACAGAAAAACAAGAATACACGAATACAAGCGAATTAAAAGCTCGATCGCTTGATCGATCAACAGCAGCTGGTGTTCTATTTCTCTCAGAATATTGGTAGTTGACTTCAGCTGTCGTGCTGCACCTCCGACTGGATTTATGTGGTATGTTTGTGTCACGGTATCATGCATGTTACCGACTGAAGAGCCATGTCCTGAAAGTTGAGCTGAATTTCCCTCGAAAATTTTCTCAAGAACGCCAAGGAAAAAATTGAAGCTAAGAATCAAAGTGAAAGACAGAGTCCAACGGACGTAGAAAGCCAAAGCCTCCATCAATTGAACTATCTGAGCTTGGCGTTTTTTCAGAATTTTTCAGACAAGCGTTTGTCAGAATTTTTATGTCCATTATTAACAAGTACAAGCCAGTTGGCCGAGTTGCAAACAACATAATCAATAAGAACGAATTAGGTGCAAATTTACGTGAGCGATGCGAGTTAGGTTTCTAACTAAAATTGATACGAGAGAAGGCCGCGAAAATTTCCGGAAAGGTGTCTTGACTGAATTTGCATTTAAGAGCACAAAACACCACCGCAACCGGGGCAACAACATACCAAGCGCTTAAGAATATTCCAGACATGGTATCAACTGAGTAGTCACGTGTACCGATGAGGTATGTGGAACAGGTGAGGTAGAGAGCGTTCATCAGGCAGTACCAGGTTATTTTCTTCATGTTGTTGAATTTTGAAGCAGTCGTTTTCTTGTCCTGGTCAATACACACAAGTTGAGCTTCAGTCGTTGTGTTGCTCATCTCACTGGCGTTTTCAATATGCGCTTCCAACAATTTCATCTCGATTATCTGGAGCCACATTTTTATGTTCCCAAAGCAACCCTATGAACTTGAGGGCCTCAAACCAACGTTGCAGTGAATTTTTTTATGGCGTGTAGCAATCTTTTCTTGACGAAATTTATGAATTTCCTTGATTTAATTATTCAAATTTTTAGTTTTTTTTATTCGTCAGACTGACTAGTAAGTAAAAAAAACAGTAAGTCCATAAATGATAATCGGTTTACGCTAAACTAGAGATTTAATAGATTTCAGTACCAAGGTTTGGTTACTCGCTCTAGGACATGATCCAAACTGAGCCGAAGATACGTTCCGGCTCGAGAAATGAAAAATGCTTCAATAATTTTCTATGTTTCGACTCTGCAACAGAGACATATCAAGATCTGTCAAGCCTGTGAATCGCCAATCAACCCCAATGCATGTATAATCATGAACATATTATTCCCCGACACGGATCTATTATAATATGAATGCGGCGCAGACACTGTCATATTTCGTACAAGCAAATAGTATACGCAGACGCATGGCCTACGTACAACAACATATGTATGTAGACCACCACACGTAAATGCTGTTCTAATTTAATCACGAAATTTATTTACTCCTTTAAAAATTACTGTCTACTTCTGCGGAATTCAACAACGGCATTAAATGAACAGCGCTGTGCTTTGCTGTAAGCGAAGAAATTTACACTCATTTTAGATAAAAGTGGCGAAGGTCCTATAGCCGACTTTTTCAAATTTCCAGGGCTGCTTTTTTATTGATTATGTGCAATTGTTAATTTATTTTTATTTGATAGATTATCCGCAGTGTTCTCAGTTGAGCAACCTGATATGGAATTTAGCGTATCATTTCTTAATTGGTACTACAAGTTTGCCGATTATCCGAATTTTAAACGTTCGTGAGAAGGTTATCGTTTCGTAGTTTCTTAAGGTATAAAATTGTTGGTAAATTTCTAGTTGCATGAGAGTGGGTAAAACTGAATAACATAAATTAGAAGGCTTCACTGTTGGAAGGCTTCTAACATTGGAGTTCGTTTCAAACAATAGATTTCTTTGAAACTTTACATCTATAATTATAATGAATTTAGACTACATTTCAACTTTCTAAAATATTATCAATTTTTTTAGGTGATGGAGGTAAACGTTTTGTCGCAAAAGAGTGGATAATGAACGGCTATAAAGACAACGGATAATAAAAGGAAGATCCATGTGAGAAAATGTAAGAGAAATGGATACACATATTTTCAAAACTGTCGACTAACTAATATAATAGTTGGTGGTTATAGTTTATACTTTATACTATGGCTATATAGTATGTAGTATAGTATATATATATATACACTATACTGTAATACTATGGTTATAGTTTATCTAAACATCAGACAAAATACAATCGATGAAAAGTAATTAGTTATTGTGAAATAAGAGGTAATTTAATCTAATGTTTTTTCAGATTGTGACAATCTCGACTATCCACCTGCGATGACAATCAAAGCTGTAACAATTCAAAGGTATTGTAGCAATGTGCATGCGATAAGTCAGGTGAAGGCTCCGTAAATCAGATATGGTATGATGACGTTATACGTTCAACTTAGGTATAGGTTCATTTTTCGGAAGCAATTAAGTAATATCCTTCGTGCTAGTGAAAATATCCCAACTGATAACTAAAACCATCTGACCTGAATAGAGTTGCACAGTTACAATAAAATTTACTTAATTGCAAAAAGATGTTGACATTTCACAATGAAAAGTAATTGCACTCATAGCAGGCAGCACGATTTTCATCTGCATGAAAATTATACTAAGCATTTAAATATTTCACACTTCTGCATACTTATTAGATGAGTATGTATAGTTTTACAATAAATAAATTTGCTTATACGAAACATAAAAAAGAAGAAAAAAAGGAATACAGTAATTGGTGATAACTTGTAGTATACATCTATATAATTTAGTTACTCAATACTCATGGAGGTCTAATTTGAAACTCGACAATGAGATATTTAACTTAACTTTTCGACAATATTTCTTGTTGTCTCGAGTTGTGAAGTCTGTTCATTTATGGATACTACCCGATTGACGTACTGAATATTTAACATATTAATCGTCAAAATCCACCTCATGCCAGCTGGTTTGTGCAGTGATAATGTTGCATTGCGCATTACATCGTCTTATTATCTCTAAATTTTTTACCTGCAACCAGTCAGCGAGAGAATCTCGAAACCAGTCAGCAAGAAAATCAGTTGTACCAGAATTGAAAGTACTGCAGTTAACAATAGTACCAGCGAACGATACCCAAAAGACAAGTTAGGAGAGGAATCCCTGGCATTCCCTGGACTTTAACCAAAGACGGTGTGGAGACGTAACATGTTCGTCATTGAACGTTGGTACGTTATTCGACGGAAGTGATTTTATGAGTTATAACGATCTTGTATTAGGGTTCAAATGTACAATTCAGGTTAGCCGATTTATTTATATTTACGGAAAACGATCCGTGACGGAAAACGATCATTACGGAAAACGAACCAAATTAGAATGCAATTTTTCAAGTTCTTTTTCTATTAAAATATTAATTTCATATTCTTTCATTGTGCACCTCATATTACTAGCCAATTTACAACGCAATGTACAGTAGGCTTCCGATTAAGACCAGTACGTGCTAGTGGTTCCCCCCTACAATGCTATTATTCAAATCAGCGCAAGATGCAGGTCACCGTAGCCTTCACGTTGCCAGGGCAGCTTTGAGGGCCCCATGGAAAGTGGATGCACTGCATGATGTCAGTCTCGTTGCCCTGGCACTTCACCCCGCCCAACTTTATGGCGACATTGAGCTCATTATTCATCGGCGTCTTCGGTGGCTTAACGGGCGATTTCGCTTGCGCTCGCATCAGTGGCTTCTCGTGGCGGCTGAGCCTGGGTTAAGAGGTACTTTGAAATAGCAGGCCATGCAGTTGGAAAATAAAGCATAATGGGAACTTTAAAAAATTGATGTTATGTTTGTACTACGTAGAGCTTTTTCAAGTTTTTAAAATGCTTTTCGCGTCCTCGAGCTGCTTTTAAGTATTATTATGGGGGTTCATAGTCGAAGCAGGGTATTGAACGGTTGTCTAGCGTTTTACGTTCCGATATTTCGCTAGAATTTCAGGAGGCGGATTTGTGTTTTCATTTTGCAAAAGTAAGGACTTCGACTCATCATAAAATTTATTTACCTAGTCTATATGCAATTATTAGCCACGTATGGAAGAAACGGGACCAGGGTAGCGAAAAAATTATCACGGAGAAGAGTTTATAAAGCTTCCAAGTCTATGTTAGCGACGTCTGTGTGGTGACCTCAGTGGTGTGACCTCAGGTGACCTCATAGCTCCCAATGCTGTGGCGTGTACGTCGTGGGAGTACCATCTTCGGATGCAAATCACAGCAATCATCCTACTGCATCACAAGATGCAGTCAGGCTACACCGTTTTTTCGGTGACGCTGAGCTGGAGACCCGTCGATCCTCCGGCTCAGGGAATACTTACTGCTGGCGGAAGATATTGAGAGTAATCCTGGTCCAAAGTGGATATGCAGCCTTTGCAATAACATCATCAAGAGGACACAGTGCTCACTTAGATGCAATGCAAGAGAACAGCATTGGGTTCATGAGAGATGTGCAAAAATAAAGGCAGAGCAATACACAGAAAAGTGGACGTGTCAGCAGCACAAGGAGGAGGAGCGAGGAAAGAGGAAAATAAACCTCACATTACTACAGCTTAATATCAACGGAATAAGAAACAAACTTGAGGAACTGAAGGAAGTAGTGCAAAAGAAGAAACCGCATGTCATAATGATCCAGGACACCAAACTTCAAGATCAGCACAAAACACCAATACTGGAAGAGTACTCAACAGTTAGGTGTGACAGACCACAAGGAAATGGCGGAGGAGGGTTGCTAACCTACATCCATAGCAATCTTCAATTCAGGGAGCTCACCAACTTCCAAACCTATATTAATGGAGCAGAGAGATCTGTAGTGGAAATAAGTGACGGAAGGAACTTAACATTGAGGCTGGCGAATTTATATACATACCACCAAGAGATATCAATGCTGATCAGGATGAAATAAGAACAAATCAGTGCATCCAAGAGCTACTAACAGCTGATACCATCCTAGCAGGAGATGTGAATGCGCATGCTCCTCTCTGGCACTCCAGCATCACAGATGCCAGAGGAATATGCATAGAAGAGCTGCTACTCACCTCAGATATGACCACGATGAATGAAGAAACACCTACTAGAATACCATTTGATCAGACACAAAGACGAACATCGCCAGATATCACAGTACTCTCACAAGACCTGAAGAGATACTCAAAATGGGAAACGATGACAACAACATCATCAGACCACCTCCCAATAATACTGGAAATACAAACTCACAATAAGGAAAAGAGTATAAGAAAACAGAAGACCTATATTAATTTCAAGAAAGCAAAGTGGGATTGCTACAAAGAATATGTTGACAGTATGCTAACAGTAGACGATGGAAGACCATATAACATCGGAGAGGCAACAAAGAGAATAGAACTGGCAATAAGGAAAGCAAGCAAGAAATTCATACCACAAGGAAATGTAAAATTAAAAATAAATCCCCTGCCGGAGTGCATAAAGGAACAAATAAGAGAAAGAGACNCTAGATGTGTATAAGAGACAGGTTAAGGGCGGGGAAATGCCCAATGCTTAGAGAATACCTCAATAAGATCGATGAGGCTAATTACCCAACACCATCATGCCCTCTGTGTCAAAACCACACCCACAACACACAACATCTGTTTGGGTGTGCTGAAATTCCATCCAGTCTGCAGCCTGAAGATCTATGGAATAAGCCAGTGGAAGTGTCCCAACTGATCAGAGTGTGGCAAAACCGGCTCGGCGCTCCGGAGGGGGGTGGGCCTGGGCGGCACTCAGTCGAATGACGTTGTGGTGATCGTCATCATGACCTCAGTGAAGTAAGAGTATAAAAGAATACTCATGGTTTGTACAAATTTTCAGACGGATTACCAGAATTTGAAACAAGAACCAACACCGTGTTGGTTCTTGTTTATAGCCGTGGCCAGGGGTCATGATCATTAACTAAAATATCTGAGTTGTAACACATACACGTAACAACACTTCTTGCTTCGATTCACCGATATGTGGAATAGCCTCCTTTATTACATCGTTGACGCTCCGAGTATGAACGCGTTCAAGAACAATCTAAGGTGAAGCTATGGAGAAGTATGTATATGTTCAGATTTGATATGCCTAGCACCCTACGTGCCTGGTAGAAGTCTAGTAGCCATTTCAAATCAACGTTAGTTTTGAAAAGATCTGGTCAAAGGCCAATTTTTAGATCTCCTGTGAACAAGTCACGAAAAGCATAAGAATCAGCAACAGGCCACACCAGGCCCACCTTTCAGCGCCGACGAAACTACATATGTTGTATTACGGAGACAAATGAATAAATAAAAAAAATGTATTTGCACAAAATAATACTTGGAGCGCACCTGTTGGCGAGGACGTTGCAGACGACTAGTGCCTCAGTGCTGTTCCAGCTATCGGCGCAGATGCTGCCGAGGTCGAATGAGCCGTTGAGCTTCAGCCCCACAAGCACCTCACCCGTCACCTGCTGCGTTCCGTCTTGCAGCTCCATTTCCGATCGGTGGTTCAGCTCGATGTGAGCTGAAATATACAAGTATATTTGTATTTCTTCCTTAAATATACACTTTATAAAGATGATTTTCACTTCATTCAAGACGAAAAACGTGATTATTCAGTGAACGTTAATGAATAATTTGCAATGAAATGTTCTATGTTGTGAACATATAAAAAAAATCCTGGAAATGCAACTATTAGTACAATACAAGCAACCATTTATCATTAATAGCGTATGATGAAGCGTTTACTCACACAAACTCGATGAGTTATACGAGCTGTTATAGGGGCCTGCATTTCGGTCAAAATGGCGGTCTTCACCTGAGTCAAAACGGCGACCTGCATCTGAACGATTACGATTACCTGCACCTGAGTTAATCGGGCGGTTTGCATCAGGGCGAATATTGCCACTGCGCAAAGGAGCAAAGTTGAAATTAGACATCTGGCCTCCAGTTCGTTGTCCATTGGAATTAAAAAATGACTGCAGTCTGTTTATATCGATTCCTTCACTTCCCCCAACTGAGCCCCCGGTATTCGATGTTGCTTGAGGAGGCATATTGGGCGATTTTTGTGTCCCTGCCGTCCCAAAGATGCTTCCTAAGTCAAATCCACTAGAGGCTTGGTTTGCGAAAATATTCTTGAGGGCGTCTAGGTTCAGAGAACCGTCTGGATCGCTTATCGAATTTGAGATGATGTTCTTAATGGTACTCAAGTCGATTGAGGAGCCAGGTTGGGAACCAGGGAATATTATTGGACTACCTCCAACGTTGCTGGAACCATGGAGATTTGGGGACATCATGCCAGATTCACCACTGTTGTCATCGTCGGTGCCGTTTTCATCTCCGTCCCGACTTCCGCCCCTTCCAAAGAATCCTCCTCTACTCGGCACCCCTCCTCCTCCCATTCCGCGGAATCTTCCTCCTGGTCGACCTCCCCACATTCCGAAAATTTCATTTCCTTCTCCCATGTCCTCGTCACTTCCTCCTCTTCCATTCATCCCAAAGGGCGATGGACCAAACATGGCTGGAGGTGTGCGAGCCGCGTTCTCCTTGCAGCTACAGACCGCCACTTTGGACCAAGTCATGGCACCCGTTGCGAAGCAGCGCTCACCGCGAAGCACGTCTTGGTTCTCTGCGACGAAAAATTTTTCATGTAATTGGGCACAACTTAAGATATCATGCCGTAAAGGTTACCTTTTTTATTCCAAATTTATTTAGAATTAATATTGATTAATACAAATTTGAAACAAGAACCAGCACCAGGGGCCACGGCTATAAACTAAGAAAACTGCGTTGTAACACATCCATGCGACACCATTTCTTCTCGCTTCGAGTCACCGACATGTCGAACAGCCTCTCTGATACCATCGTTGACACTCCGAGTATGAATGCCTTCAAGAACAGACTAGACGAAGCTATGCAGGAGCATATGTTCAGTCTTGAAATGCATAGCTCCTTACGAGCCTTGCAATATGGCCAGCAGCTATCGCAATCAATTCATCAGTTATGGAAAGATCGGGTTCATAAGGCCGGATCCCAAGTGGAATCAAGTCGCGAAAAGTACAAGAATTGGCAACAGGCCATCGGCTAATTTCTTCAGTGCCAACATTTCTATTCTATTCTATATTTGTTTCTAGAGACAATATGTATAGAAGCCCTCATATCAGCCTGCCATCACTCCTCTACTCCAGTCCTCTCTACTCCAGTCCTCTCTACTCCAGTCCTCAGTTACCCTAGAACTCATCTACCAAAGTAGTAAACTAAACCTATGCATACACAGCAAAGTAAACTCACCAACTCGCCAGTAGACAGGAGTAGATGAAGAACTGTTCTCAGAGTTCCCGTCCTCCCGCATCATGTCGAAGGGCGACTCGAAGATAGTCGACACTTCTTGCTGAGTTATTTGAGCTGAGTTCATCGCCTGTGCCACATCACCTGATAACCTGCAGAAGATCAGTCTTAGTTTACATTATCGGGCTAGCAGTGTAGTACAGGGTGCGCCACAGAAACTTACTTATTTAAAAAAATTCCTGTGCGGTTAGTTGGTCGGGTATAGGGGCGAGAGGGGGTGCATCTGAAGGGGAAAGTTCCCAAGTTTGTTTCTCAAAGTTTCTCAAATAAATTTGCTGTAGTGCAAGAATTAACTGAACGCGATTTTGTTGCCCCTTGAAATGCATGTAAAATGCTGGTTGACAACCTGCCTGAAGACGCTTCAGGTTGAGTGATCGGAACAAACCTCATGCATCGCTCTTCCAGAGTTGGCTCAGTTCCGAGCTTGCCGCTGAGCAGAGACCTCATCTTCATCCGATCGTTTTTTTTTCATCATCTCCATCTGCGTCGAACAAAATACGCTCAAAATCAGAGCAGACAATTACCTACTTTAGCGGTAATATTAGAGATAATTGGGACAGCATATTGGTTTGTGCGTTTCAGAACATGCTATTTCATCAACTTCTACGTCTTTTAACTTTCGTACCTTGTAGAGGATTACTGTTAACATCATAAAATAAACGGATCTCTCGGAGACCATTCCTGCTATCCATCTTCTTAAAAAACCCAGGCCTCATTTCAGGAGCAAAATCAGTAAGTGCTACTTAAAATTCCTACACAATTATAACTTCTTATTTAGCCTCTGTTCTGTATTTAGTATGAAAAATATATATTTTTTTATTTGACTTGATGTCGATAAACCTGACACTGTTTGCACTCACCCTAGATTTTATGTCGCGCATCCTGACGCTGTTTGCACTCACCCTTTACTTTATGTCGCGCATCCTGACGCTGTTTGCACTCACCCTAGACTTTATGTCGCGCATCCTGACGCTGTTTGCACTCNAAATTCAGAGTTTAATTCGCCGTAATGTTTACCTTACTTGGTAATTCCTGTCTCTTATACACATCTAGATGTGTATAAGAGACAGGAATCATACTGATCGATCACGCTACACAAATGCAATTGGAATAATAATTAACATACTTTGATACACTGCATTCAGATACCCAAAATTTGCGTCCAATTAATAGAAGAATATAGTTGCAGAAAAATAATTTCTATTCTAGTACGCTCCCTGCCGCAGCGAGTTCAAATTAATTTTTCCACAATTACGTCCTCTCTAAAATGTACAGCCAGCTAAACTAAAAGCAAAAGATGTTTTAGTTTGTTAAAAAAATCGTGTAACTTGCCTTCGAACCATTTTTCCTCCAATAATCCAAGAATTGTTGTAGTTCGTCGATGCCCTTCAACATTTTCACCCCCTTATTCACTTCAAACATCCTTTAGAACCAGACAACAATATTATTTTCAAGTTTTTATGAGGTGCACGATTGTGAACTATTTACGTTTCTTACAAAAATGGTCACTTATTTCAACGCTCCTAAAAGAACACTTTAAGATAAGAAATTGCAATAAAAATCTAATTTATACAAACATTCTATCGACACAACGGTGTTTAGATTTAAACTGACTTCTTTGCTTACAAATTTCGTAGCCTTGAGTTATTTTTCAGAGCCTTGCCCCACGGTTCTTGTATGATGGCAGTCCTGAGACTCTGCACCATCGTGATGGCAGTCTTGAGACTCTGCCGCAACGTCACAGGGAGGAAGGTGAAGCCTTTCATATTCTCTGGCTCCGAATTCACGAGCTGCGTGAACATCATCGATATGACCTTATTCATCTCGAGCATCTCCTTCATCTTGGCATTGCAGTGGAAGTTTCTGCCACCTTCACAACCACCTCCGTGTCTTCCATGGAGCATGTTGCTCTGTGATGACCGCTTCAGCGGCATAGTCCGACCAGTGCCATTCCTGAAAGTAAATACAATTTTGCAAAACCGCTACCAATATGTCCAATAAAACGAAGGGAAGAATCCTGCAAGTGGGTGGATATAAATTTTAACAAATAGCAAACGTAACTAAACAAAGGATAAGTGTCAATCCTGAATTATCGAAATTAAATGTTACCATACATGTTTCGTCTCGTTTAGGGGGGGAAACTCATAAATGAGATACAGGGAAAGTTTCGGATATAATTGCAACCTAATTTGGTACGATCTTCGTTCGGATCGCTCCAGGTTTACGATTGTTTTGTCATTAAGTACGTTGACTGAAGCCTGAATGACACACACACACACCATGAATATGCATCGCTGGTGATTGATAACTTATCTCCTTTCATTTTGCTGCACACTGTTTTCAATATTGTTGTTGAATCCTGGCTTTGATGCTACATTTTTTCTCATGATATCTTGAAGCAGCGTCAGAAATTCGTCTTGAGCTGCGGCTGTTTCTTTGTCATCTCCCGCAGATCCAATGAGACGTGTTAGCGCATGTGAGATATCTTCATCGGAGGCGAAGTCATCAATAGAATTTCCGATAGCCTGTATGGAAAAGACAAAAATAATCGCAATGTTGTTCACGATATGCCAGAAAATATTACCTAACATTATCTCCGAGCATTGGTGGTTTAAGTATTGTGCCATTATCCATAGCAATAACTGCCAATCTGTACCGGTCTACCTCTTTCAGAATGAAATGATAGCAGCACAAATTAGGCATCATATCCAATAATACATACAGCATACACCTAACATGCAAAGAAATGCACTGAAATTAAGTAATAAAACAACAGATTACAAATAAGTGGCGTAATATGTACCCAGTCATCGTTATCATTCTCCGTAGAATTTGTTTCCTCTACGGAGTTGAGGTCTTCCGTAGAGTTGTGGTCTTCCATAGAATTCATGTCCTCGATGGAAGCGTCTCTTTTGAATCTTCTTGTACCTGAATTAAGGACAGAATCATTTCAGCTACCTATATCGTTTAATTTAGAGCTATTTCCATTTACTGAGCATACAATTAATACTTTAATTTGCGTATACGGTCTCAGGTAAATATTGAATTTTAGCACTTAAATAATGTTACACATTTTTTAAGGAAGCCTTGTCATTTTCGTGTTGAATTGTCTTCACCGTAGTTAATTTAAAACTTTTTCAATCCCAGAGATTTATTCTCATCCAAATGCGTTTTTCATTTCGCTCATTGCGATTTGAACAGTGACGGATGAAAGTGTATGTTTTTACCTGACAGAACTTGCCAAAATGTACTTCGCTGCTTTCACTTCACAACCAGTGTTGAGATGGGCAAATGCTATCATTCAGTTAAAAAGTTTTCCAAAAATTATTCACTGAAGAATTTTAAAAGTCAAAGACGCCACGGCAAGATACGTACAGCTTGCTTCATCCGATTTGTCCCGACAATCGGTGAAGCCGTCGCACTTTATCTTGATCATGTCTATTCGTGTCCCGTCCTTGCAGATGAAACTCCCGTCGGACTGCTCTCCCCAGCTCTGTACGCCGTTGCTGAGGTGATACCAAACTGAATTAAATAATTAAAAGGTGAAGATTGATGTTGTGCGCAGTTTATATTATTCGTGCAAATAATGAGAAGATAAATTATTATTTTTTCATTTAACAATAATTTGAGTTCGTGGAACAAAAATAATTGACCAGGTATCAATGCAAATTAAATTCTAAATACCGTTACCTTGATGCCGAAAATACAGCATTGTTGCCGCTGTTGTTGGTCACGCTGTTGGCTGTCATGGGCGAGAGACTCGTGCGCAAAGCTCCGCTCTCGAAGGGGAGTATGTTCTGAGGGGGTCGTGAGTTGTCGAAATTTGGGGGTTGAGAGGATACTGTCCCATCCGTCGGTCTCATGTTCCCTCCTGAGCCTTCCGGACCTCGCCGAACACCGCTCGTGCTCATTTCGCCTTGTGGACCTCCCTTCCCTCCGAACATGCCACCCATTCCACCTTGTGGACCTCCCATCCTCCCGAACATGCCACTCATTCCGCCTTGCGAGCCACCCATTCCTCCAGACATATCACCCATTCTGCCTTTTGGACCTCCCATCCCTCCGAACATGCCACTCATCCCGTCTTGCGAGCCACCCATTCCTACGAACATTTCACCAATTCCACCATGAGGACCTCCCATTTCTCCGAACGCACCACCCATTCCCTCCTTTGGTCCTTTATGCCCTCCGTGCTTGCGGTCCAAGAGGTAGGACTTCATTTTGAAGGACAAGATCTGCATCACGAAGGCCCGGGATTTAGGGTCCCCCTCAAGTGCCGTCTTCAGCACTTCTTCTGCGGCGGCTAAAAAGGCCATGCTGTTATTGTGCTGGAGTCTAGCCGCGCTCCCATGTGCCTGTGGAACTCATCAGTGATAAAATCTCACATGTACGAAAAGGAGCTGGTGAGCTTATTCTTCCATGTCAATGGTCTATATTAGGGTATTTTGAAGCTGATCGCGTAGTTATAAGTTTCAATATAACAGGGTGCAGAAAGATTTACTTTCTTTGGATATTTCTGGATGTAAATGGCCTACTAAGATCTTCATAATTGGAACTTCGGTGACAACTTACGTGACTAAAGACCAATTTAAACCAGGATAGACTAGAAATTTTACCCTGACTACAAGTGCGGTGAGGTCCCTGCGCATGTCTCGGATGAGCTGAAGGACATTTGACAGGAGGGAGTCGCGTGCTGCCGCCTTTGGATCGTCGCCTGTGGCTGCGAAGGCCTGTTCATTGCAGCGCTGCATGGCCTTCAGGCGTGTCGCTATCTGGTCCGACTGGAAGCTTCCCTTTATTAACGCAGTCACCTCCTTTTTCTCAGCTTTACTGAATGCGAACGTCTTGCCCTGGGTCGTGACAAATCAATAAATTATGGAAACGACACGGCCTAATGTCATGCCACTATTGACTACATTGGGAGATGTAAAACATTTATCACGGAGAGTGTTTAAAAGTAAACATCTAAAGTATAAAAATTATGTCTAATATGTAAAAAACGAACAAGCAGAAAACAGAATTATGCCCTACAATGGCCTGCAGAGACTCACGTCAAACAAGTAGGGCATAGAACGAAAAGAGACCAACAGGGCAGAGCTCCCCCCGTCTTCAATACTGGACATCACCTTGCACGCGTTCGTCAAGTCCCAATCGTTTTCCGCAACACTGAATTCTAGAATCATCGAACAAATGGCTGAAAGATATGTTGTACCTGTTAGTTTGTCGTGAAAAAATATTTCGCCCCCTATAAAAGTTTTTCCGCATAATATATATAATACTAATTGTCGCTAAACCCAACATGGAACAGATATGCAGTTAGAACGCTGAAAATTTATTTGTTTATACATTTGCGATTTATGACCAGAGAACGCATATTATTACAATTTCCAGGGAGTTGAACCTTTCTTCAAATAACGTTGACAGACAAAAATTATTTCTAAATTATGTCACGAACTTACCAATGTCTGACCCAGTCGATGTGAAATTTACGAGCAGTACAGCGACATTGTTGGAGCGGTCGATGTCATTGGTGCGGTTCAGAGGGTCAACAACGACGATGAGGGCACCCGGCAAGCCGTATTGAGAAGCCGAGATTCCCGTCTGCGAGACGGTGAGCTTCGACAGGTCTAAGTTCACTGACGCTCCGGCAGCCATGGCTGATATAGATGCACGGTTTCCCAATTACGCAAGACAAGGAGTTACCCACACATTCTTAGTAACTGTGAATAGTCTCAGATATTATAATATAGCCACTCAATAATAATTACATCAAACAGACGTACCTTTTTATCAAGCGTTACAAGTGAATCTTCTTTTTTTTCGGAATTTAATCGAAGGCTTCCACGTTTCTCACCTCTACTCTTCGATAAGTCGTCTGCTGGAGAAGCAGCTCGGCTCCTTGCGTAGTGCCCATCATGAAGATCGTCTCGGGAGCGGCGTCGAGGAACTGATTCTTCATGGACTGCATCAGAGAGCTCGACATCTCTGCCATAGTCCTAGCGAAGCACGTGCAACAATTAATTATAGGCATAACTGATGCCGCTTGTGCAATTTGTCTTATGACATTTGAAAAATTTCAAAACCAGTGACACTCAACCACTCATCGTTAACTTGTAAGACGTTAGCTCCATTACGTCAGGTTATTCTCGGCATCTACCTCCTCACTTGTGTTAAATAAATCTACGAACCTCTCTACCTTTAGTTTCAACCCGACAAAATTAACGCCGCAATGGTTGAAGGTGTAGCAGGAAATTCAAGATATTTGGTAGAAAATTGACCGCATCGAAAATTTAGGATCCCTCGAGCAAAGATATTCGGAGTCCAACAATTCCAAAACAACTTTATTACGAAGAGGAAAATGTTAGAAATAGAAATAGGAAAGCCAACTTCAATTAATAACATTGGGAATAGGGTAGTTCATAGGAAAATAAAATGATACTAAAGCGCATTACTAACTAAGTGGAACGGGCTTGAATCGGGAGAATTACTTTCATCAAAAGTGGGAAACTTATTGATGCGGTACTGTTCCTAGACCTGACGCAGCACTGTTCAAGCTATCGCCGAAGTATAGTACGGGATGGTGCCATCACACTCACATGTTCGAGCTGTCGCCGAAGTAGTACGGGATGGTGCCATCACACTCACATGTTCGAGCAGTCGCCGAAGTAGTACGGGATGGTGCCCCCACACTCACATGTTCGAGCTGTCGCCGGAGTAGTACGGGATGGTGCCCCCATGCACACTCACATGTTCGAGCTGTCGCCGAAGTAGTACGGGATGGTGCCATCACACTCACATGTTCGAGCTGTCGCCGAAGTAGTACGGGATGGTGCCCCCATGCACACTCACACGTTCGAGCTGTCGCCGAAGTATTACGGGATGGTGCCATCACACTCACATGTTCGAGCTGTCGCCGAAGTAGTACGGGATGGTGCCATCACACTCACATGTTCGAGGTGTCGCCGAAGTAGTACGGGATGGTGCCCTCACCAGCGACAATCACTTTCACCTCAGGCGCGTCTAGAGGCATTCGCGCCTTCAAGTCTGATGTACCGGAGTTGACCAGCTTCAGCACGATCTCTGAGGAAAGCCGGAATACAAATTTTGTTCCAGACGATATATCAAATCTAACTTGCCACCAGCTTAAATATCAATTAAAGTTATTTTTATTCCACATACATTTACTATTCATTTAACTTAAATATATGTTGTAAAAATTCATTTAAGAGTATGCTGCAAACAACTTTCCTCGCACATGAAGTTCCGAGTGAAGGTTATGCATATAATTTCACATATACTGTGACATAGGAACTGTGACATATAATATCACAGTTCCTCGTGCATTCCATTACTCACTAGTGTCGATAGTCTGGCCTGGTCGGATGACGATGCTAAATGGGCCATTGCTGGGAAACTGCCACTGCAGGTCCACAGCTTTTAGATGAGACGAAACAAAATTCAATATGTATGAAACATCTTCTGTCAGGGTATCTTTTCTAGTGGAAGTTTAATGCTAACCCTTTAGATTCAAGGAATTGAACCACGTGCAAGCTACGGACCAGCTACTGTTAGGGCATTTGTGGATGTTGGACCGTGAGATTTACTACATAGCACTTTCTAAAACCATGGAAATGTCGCCATACACTAAAAGATATATGAAATAAAACTGTATATTCACACCCACCATTTGCAAGGATCATTACTGACCTTCGTCATTGCATGATATGAATCCCGACACGACCTCCTGGTCGAGGCTGGTGCCGTTGCTGAGGACCACCACCAGGTATGCAGTGCCGCACAACTGTCGCATCATCATAGGAATTTGGTCAAACGTTAAGTACTACACCGCATTTGCTTCCGATAACCCAGTATTGGAAGTAATCAGGAATAAACGTGTTCAATGAAATTTCTATTATTAAAGACGGTTAATTAATGTTGACAATTAGTTTTAGTCAGTATCCCACGTCACATATACATATATATTTTTTGACACACCATTTACTGCTTATTGTCAGAGACCAACTCACCGTAGAGGAGGGCAAGGCTCCCGTCAACGGAAATTCTTTAACTTGTCCAGCACTTGGCAAATCTACAGAAGAAAGAATTTTGTAATTTTGTTTTTTGAATTCTCAATGCCTTACTTCAGGTGCTTATTTTTCCGAAAAAATGAGTTTATGTCTGTAGTTCGACTGTACTCTAATCTATCCTCGCTGCTTAACCTGTGCTCTGAACATCTCACAAATTTAATTCCAAAGCCTCCGAATAGCCTCCCGTTTGAGATTAGACTTATTTCTTAAATTCTTTGGTAATATGTTTTTCTCATTTATTGGGCATTTCTATTGCTCCAACTGCAGAAATTTATGATTTTTCAGTCATTATTACAAAAGTTATATGTCATCTTAAAAATATAATTATTTCTATGTCTTTTAAATGTTATTATGTTTTCAGCTAGCTCAATTTTTAATAGACGACCAATAATACGACCGCTATATTTAATATGGCATGAGTCCTACCGGACGCTGCAAGAGTGACGGTGGCGAGGGCGCTGGCGCTGGTCTCCGAGGGCAGCACGAAGGGCGTGAGGGGCTTGAAGACCTTGATGGCGAAGGATCCTGCGGTGACGTTGGTCGTGCCCTGCAGCTTAGCCTTTAGGGAGCCTCCGCACGCCGCCGCCAGGTCTGTGGCCGTAAAGTTCACGACTCCAGACGCACAGACGACATCGCTGAGGTGGAGGCAATGTTCGGGTTAACGATGACATAGTGTAACTTAATTAAAATTTTTATCATAATTTGTTAACAACTGCATACAACGGAAATTGATTGGTCATAGAGAGAAAAATAAATGTTTGCATATATCTTCGTTATATTTATAACATTAAAGAAAATAATTATTTGGGTAATTGGAACAATAGCTAAAGAGCTTATATGGTATTAATATTTTTAGCGTTGATTCAAAATTCCCTTTAGTAGCGTTGATTAAAATTCACGAAAATTCCCGGTACCAAAACCATCTCTGTACGTTGATTTATGCGTTCACGACAGATCGCGAAAGGGTTAGGGGTGATGGGGTTCTTCAATATTTAAGATAGGCCGAAATTACCGGTAGCGCACTTAAATAGCTAGTCTGAACACGCTGTGCTTCAGTTATCCGCCTGCAGTCGTACGGGATGGTTCTCGTGCCGTCGTTCGCATCATCCTTGACAGAAATTGAGCTCCAATATCGTCTAGTCTTGCAACCTTGCAACTTTGAATGTCTATCTCGAGGCGCGCGCGACTTTGTCGGGCTCTACTGAAAAGTTAACAATTATTGTCACTGCAAACCTATCTCCTCCAGGAGTTTTGAAGCTACAGCAATGAGAGATATACCGTTCGATTTTTAAAGAAGATTTCTACAAACTGATGCATGCGTTTTTCGAATTTCGTTATAGTTTGTATTTATCCCGCAAAAAAGGGGGTTATAGGGGGTAAAATTGAAAAATTTCCGAAAAATTTACAAAAAACGCCCCTACATCCACAAAAATTAAAATTACAAAAAAACGCATGCATCATTTCATAGATATGGTCTTTATTCATCTAATTATATGTGTCTCGTTGTTGTAGATTGTAAATCCTAGGAAGGGCTAGATTTCTACAGTACCCCCTTTTTTGGCAGTTTTCTAAGAATTTCACGTTTTCTTTCACTTGTTTAGAAAAATTCACACGAACAAAAAAGTCTTAGATTTCTGTTTTACTTATGTGTACCAAGTTTCAAAGTGATCCGTCTGTAAATAACCGAGATAAAATTTGGGGCAGACGCTCCACTTAAATTTAATTAATTTTCTTAAATATTAAGTTACAAATCAAATCAATTATGCTCACATGAGCTTGACTTGCGCTGAGACTGTGGCTGCCCACGCAACGGCCAGCAGACACAGGAGCGCTGCCCTGCCTGCTGGAGCACTCATGCCAGCTGCCTGCTGTATAAACAACATTTATTATTGGAAACGTTGTTTATTGCGTTTATTGTTTATCATAATGGGTAGATAAAAAACTATGGCGACGAAAATATTTCACATTAAAATTAATTCATTCATCATAATTCATTTTCTTCCATATTAGTATATATTTACGTCTTTATTTATTTAGGTATAAAAAGATGGCAACGAGGATCCTGCGTAAATAATACTGATTACAAGCAACTGTCATATGAAGACACACATTTCATGACTTATTTTCCGTCAAATACGTCTGCACACATAATGGCACAATGTCACAACAAACACAAGCGAAACAGAATTTTTCACAAGGTTTATTCACATGTTTATGACGTGTATTAATCATCGTCGGTATTTTATAACGGCTATTCAAGGATAAACAAGAAATGCGTTGTAAAATCAGACACTTGTACAGTGTATACTATAGCATCGATCCATTTGAGTATTGGAAACCATGTCTCGGTTATAATCTTATCGCCCAACCCTGCAGCTTGAGATTTCCTGGAAAAATTGCTACGTGTTGTGCATTCATTTGGAAATCGTTAGCAAACAATTGGCGTTGCCAAGCACCGATGATTCCGACATCAATTAACTGATCGAAGTTTCAACGTTATCAGGAGACAAAGAATTAACTTCTTCAAGAGCTCAAACGCTCTTAACGACCTCTTGTTAAAGCTTGGCAATTACTGCCCGGAGTGCGAGGTGAACAGCGTCAACTAAAGCAGTCTTAGGCTTTACTTGTTGTCTTATATATGTCAATGCCAACGCCATATTAATCGGTTCGTGGCACAGGTCGATGAATCAACATCTTATTTCTGGTTGTTTCTTCACGCGCTGGATGCCGGCAAACACGAGGAAGAAGTCAGGGAATTCTGCCTTTAATTTTTGTGGCCCTTACAGCGATGGTCTTCCAAACGTCATCAAATGTGACAGAATACATAAACTCGTCTAAAATTATAGCCAACTATTGCATTTTAATGGGATGTTCCAAATTACATTAAAATACCACTCATAGATTTAATTACATGAACAAGATTATATTATTAATAAAACTCATCTTAAATTAAAAACCGACAATCGCATTTCAAGGTGACGTTTAAAATTAAGTTTTCATAGAATGCATCTATAATTAAGGTGGTGCACAGAAACCACTTAATCAGAAAAGGCTTAATAAGAATTATTCACGTTCAAGTTGAGTTTATTTGTTGTATTTCCGATGAAGACTGGCTATATAAGTGAGAGGTTCACTATTAGCGGCCAGTCTGCGAAGACGACGTATTCCACCCTGCCTCGTCGCCCCTGGTGACGTGACGAACACTCAGCGACGTCAAGCAGACGAGCCTCTTTGTTCCTAGAACTGCTCCAACTAGTGCCTCGTCTCTACACTCAAAGAAACGCGCTACACGTTGTCCGAATAGCAATACACTCTTTACCCTTACATTGGTCAAGCTGTTCCTTTTTGGCGCTGGAAAAGGGCGCATCATGCAGTGCTACGACCACTTTCTGATAGTGATATGGATATAAAAGTGTCACTATTTAGACAATATGACCATTCATTTTTGCATGGGGTGGAAACAAGCGCAGTGTAGGGCGGCAGATATTATTTTTATTGTGAAATTACCCTAAATCTATTTTAGCGCTACATATCTTAACGATCATTTAAGATTATACTCGTACGTTCGATGAATGAACGGAACTTGATTCTAGAAGGCTACATGCGACGTTCTGCACTGAACACTTGGTCACTGAACGTGATGTGTTGCAACTGAACGTGATGGTGTGCTTCTGAACGATATGTGTTGTAACTGAACGCGATTTTCTACACTGAATGCGATGTTTTGCTGCTGAACTCGATGATTTGCTGTTGAACGCGATGCCGCAAGCAAACGTGTATTATTCAAGAAATAAGGAACAAGGGAACAAGAAATTAATGGGCACAATGCCGCAAACAAACAGGCATTATTGTAAGCTACAATTTCTCCGTATTTACTTATGGAAACAGAAACTTATGCTCTAATGTTGAAACTTTTATAAACTTTATTGTGTATTGCAAACATGCCAAAATTATTTTTTTTAATTTAATTATTCATAATTGAATCCAGTTAAATCCAAATGAATTTATCTCTTTTGCAATCGCAAACAAAGTATAACCTGCAAATGTTACAACATTTGGGACGTTAATCGAATGTAGAGTGAATTAATCCACGGATGTAGAGCGAAGTGTTTGACTACTTCTTAAATCTTCTCAATTCCCAGAATTGTTATTATTCAATGCACATTATAATGAATATTAGTGAAGGTTTGTAAGTTTGTTTGGCGCAGCTAAGCAAACGCGTATCCGCATGACCTGTTTTGTCGAGTTCCTGCATCTGGTCAATAGTTATTTTTTAATAACTATTGTTCTTAAATTGTTGTTATTCTTTAATGACAATAGTTATTTTTTTAAGGGAAGAAATCTTGAGTTACAACGAAACAGGAGGAAGAAAAGTTAAAATACGAAATTCTATTTTTTCCTATTGAAATAATAGATTTTACTTATGTCATGAAACCAAAAATTGAATTTCCTTCAATCTCCGGAACGGTTGTTAACTGTAGCTTTAAGGTAAATATTGTTTGGGATGGCCTAACTATCATGATTTACCTTTGAACGTTAGGAACGGAATTAGATGTAACAGTTTATAAGATATCAGATATTATCTATCCTATGCAACGGCAGAGTAACCAGCAAGTTATTATTATCATCATCTCCAATAACCAAGCTCATTTATTAAAGTAAGGAGAAAATAATTTATTGTACCTGTATGTCACTCCCATAGCATTTTTAGAAATTTCCACCCTCTGCCTGCTGATACAGCTAATGACCAACAATATTTTTCTTAGAATTAATTTTAAAAAATCAATTCTAGTAAATTAGTTGACATTTATTATAATATCATATATAGAGCATAAATTCAACTTACCTCTACAACCTCTTCGACTGACGGCAGTTTCAAAATATCCCTAGGAATTTTTAGAAATTATTTTTTTAGTTTTTTCTTCCGAACAAGAGTTTTACCATTATACTTTATCAATTTGTATTACGAAATGTTAAAAATGCGTTTTTTTATTATTTTCAACACCTCTCTTAACTTCACTTCTTGTTGTTTGTCTGTCTGTTACATACTGTATCTTATAATCGATATTTAACACACTCCTACCTGTCCAATCGATATGAAATTTTACACACTTGCGTAAAGTTGGAGACAATGCATGAATCAATTGACACAATAAATAATTTTGAAAATTTAATTTTTGTTTTCATATAGTAATAATAAAAAAATTTAAAAATTATTTTTTTTAATATATGGAAATAGAATTAGAAATTCATTGTAGATAAGTTACATCGAAGACACTGTATTCTTTAGAAGTGTTGTCTTTAAAAAGTAACTTTTAAACGCATATTATTTAGGGTACAATTGCGTTCGATCAACCAGCCGAGTATGAGGAACAACACAGCGCGACGATCAGACAGGCAATGAGCGTGAGATCGCTACCGCTGCACTTAAGTAGACACACCGACGGCCGTATCCATGATACAAGACGGAGTGTTTAGATCAAAGTCGCTTCCAGAAAGTGCGCAGAAAATTTGTTGTTGAAATTCAATGTTTTCACAATATCGATTAATGAGGTGCACAATGTAGTATAATTTTAACAATTAATATAAGTAAAATTAGCAATATTGAGGCAATGCACTCGGTAATTCTATATCATGCACGTTTATACATTTACATTTTTCATAGAGAAATATACCTTGGAATACTCATTGTCCATCGAACTAATTCCAAATTAGTTACCAAGATTTGCGCGATAACGACGATTTACACAAAAAGAGTCTCAATGCTAAATTACCTTTAAAATTCAGATCATTTTGGAACTTGGCATAACGTTTCTTTTGAAACAGTCATTTATATTTCTGTGGTAAATGTCACCCATGGAGAACTTTTATTTTTTTACGAACAAAATTCAAACTATGAAC